GACTGTTTTATTTCAATACCTGGAACTTCCGGTATAATGCTCACTAGAAGTCTGAGGTTTGACTGCCATGCTCTTTCCCAAAATGCCCATGGATGACAAAGTATGTCGGATCACTAAGAATTATATGAGCTATAAGTGTTTCATGGATGTTCGTTATCCGTTGTTGGTGTTATTTTCCTCATTTCTCTTTTTCTGATTTCCTTTGGGTGATCTGAAATTTTTAAATTCCATTTTCATTTTTACAGTGACATTAATGACTTTTTGCATTACAGTTTTACTCATTGCTCTCAGGATATTATATGTTCCTAAATTTTCAGTTTACCTAAAGTTAGTAATGTAGTAATTTACATAAAATATAGAGATCCTGAGACCTTGTATGGTTATTTTCCATGAGACCTTGTATGGTTATATTCTATGTGCCTTTATGTTAATATTGTCATGTCTTATATCTCTCTATGAAAAGACTCCAGAAGACCATATTACAATTATTATTTGTTGAGTGTTATGTATTTTAAAGGAATTGATAAGAATATATGTGTACAGTAAACCAAGGATTTCCTATTTTAGATTTTCTTCATTCATTCCTGAAAATCAAAGATTTCCATTTTCCCCACTGATGTCTTGCTCCCTGGTTGTATGATCAAGGTTACTGTTACAGCAAGAGAGATTTGATTCCTCTTAGATATTTGAAAGGCTAGATAGTACCTTCTAGAATTGTCCGGCTGAAAAATGGGGTGGGGGATGGGGAATGCTTATGTACTGTCCTCCAGCCTCCATTAATTGAAGTTTCCCCCAGAAAACAATGAGATATCACTTCATACAAGTCAGAATGGCTATCATCAGAAAGTAAAAAAAATAACAAGTGTTGCCTTAACTGCTTCCACACTGGGATGTACTTGTCTGTGGACAAAACAGTCTACTTATGGTTTCCCAGAAGGCCTTCTGTTTCAGAGAAGGAGAGGACTACTACAGTAGAGATTTGATGGGTAGTACTGGATATGGAAGACTGACAATGTGAATCAGAATCAAATAGCACGAGTTGTTTAGATTACTCAATTTCAGTTCTCCCATATGAAAAATAATGATAATAGAACCGCCTACATCATAAAATTGTACTGAGGATTAAAAATATGCAAAATGTGAAGCACATTTCATGCCAAAAGTTAATTTTTAATGAATATTGGTTCTCATTATTTTCCTGGTAGTAAACCAAGTTCCTCAAAAGTGGAGTGCCAGGGGTTGAGAAAGGAAAATTTAAAATCAGCAACGACAACAAAAGACATACTGAATGAGAGAAGATATTGGCAAATGATATATCCAATAAGGGGTTAATATCTAAAGTATATAAAGAACACATAAAACCCAGTAACAAAAAAATAAATAAATAAACAATCGCAGTTAAAAATAAATAGAGGAACTAAACAGATTTCTACAAAGAAGACATATAGATGGCCAACAGAAATATGAAAAGATGCTCAAAATCATTAACCACAGGGAACACAGATGCAAATAAACCACAATGAGATATCACTTCATACAAGTCAGAATGAGGATCATCAGAAAGTAAAAAAATAACAAGTGTTGCCAAAAATGTGCAGAAAATGAAATATTTGTGCACCATTGGTGGGATTGTAAATTGGTGTACCCACTATGAAAATCAGTCCGGAGGTTCCTCAAAAAGTTGACAGTAGAACTACCATACGACTCCATGATTCTACTTCTGGGTATTTATCTGAAGAAAATGAAAGCACTAATTTGAACGGATAAATGCACCCTTATTTTCATTGAAGCATTTTATAATAGCCAAGATATGGAAGCAACCACAGTGTCAAGGATAGATAAATAGGTAAGGAAGATTTTATAATAAAATATTTTTCAGTGATAGGAAAGAATGAAATCGTTCCATTTACAAAAACATGAAACGGCCCACAGGGTACTATGCTACTTGAAGTAAGCGAGACAGAGAAAGACAAACACCATATGATTTCACTTATATGTGGAATCTTCAAAACAAAACAAATAAAAAAAACAAATAAAACATAAACAGACTCATAGGTACACAGAAGAGATTGGTGGTTGCTGGGGAGGGAGGTTAAAAAGGTAAAAACGAGTAAGAGGTACCAACTTCCAGTCATAAAAATAATCCACGAGGACATAATGTAAAGCACAGGGAATACAGTCAATAATATCATACTCTATACAGTGACAGATGACTAACTAGACTTATTGTGGCGATCACATCATAAGGTCAATAAATGTCGGATCACTATGTTATACACTTGAAACTAATGTGATATTGTATGCCAACAACAGATTAATAAAAAGCTTTTAAAAATTAAGGAAATAAAATTAGGATTCACAAGAGAATTAGGTAAGATTAAACCTAGGGTGGAAGACACCTGTATTCCACCACCATACACCTACACCTTAAGTGGTCACCCCAGGAGGCAACATCTGAGGTTACTGTCAGTGAGAGACTATTCCTCAACTGAAATTCATCCATATACTTTTTTCCTTTAAAGTTAGAGAAGACTTTCAAATCTTTCAGTTTTTCACATTTGATATTATAAATAAATGGAAATGTCTTAAAAATTTTATTTAAAATTCCATTTTACACCAAGTTCCACCTCATATGTCCCCAAAGTAATTAATGGCACTCTTACAAATATGGATAGAAAATATTTATCAATAAACACACACTGAATGGATAAAGCTAAGGTTATCTTTTTATACCTGAACTTTAGTATTGAATATTTCTTAATCTGAAATATCAAAGTAAACGTGGAACCAGTATTTGCCTATGAGACAATTTATTATATTATACTCTAATAATTATTAAATGAAGGTTATGCAACTATGTGTGAACACCTAGACAGAAGCAAAAGAATAAACTGACCACCTGGGAACTGACAGAAGACTAGAAGATTAGTTGTTTGTGTGTGTGTGGATTGAACTGCTTGCTCATTATCCACTATAGAACATAATGATGCTACATGATGTTGCTGAACTCTCATTCCAATCTCTAGAATCTTCGGAGATTTATCCCCAAAGGAAACAAACATTAAAGGTAACAATATAACTACAACGACTTCGATCTGTTACTAAAAGATGAATGACTTCTTATTCTAAGAGGTAAGATTTTCCCTTTTGTTAATGAATCTGATGTACTGACATTCATTTCCTGTTTGAAAACGCTTTACTCCCTAAAATTATATCTGTAATCACAAGTCATAGTTGTGAAACAGGGCAGATGTAAACAGGGCAGCTAGCAAGCAACTTTGGCTGAATAGCTGTTTCCACCATTAGTTCATGTGTAAACAGGCATAATCTAAGTTACCAGGATTCCTGTTTATTTACTCGTAAGATGGAAACTCATATGGTCTTTCAACACTACCCAAACTTGGCACTCTCCAATAATGCTAACTAATCACTGTCTCTGAGATACCCTGGGCCTTTATTGATATGTAAGAATTTGAAGATTTAAATGGAAGATTTAAAAATTTAAAGGTATTACAAATATCTGTGCAGAAAGACTGACTTTGTTTCTCTCTCCAAATGCTTTAGCATGAAGGCAATGACGCATAGACAAAGCTCAGGATACAAGTCAGAAAATACAGAGATGAGAATCAACTTGGACAAAAGCTAGGTGATCCATTTTCAATGATTAGTCTACACTTGATTCAGCCACATATTATGTTGAAAATAGGATTACTTCACTTTATAAAACTTTCATTAGAAAACATTGTTACAGTAGGAAGTAATTTGATGTAGTTTAATTATCTTCTGAATACCAATCATGCTTTTTGCAGTGATTACATTAATATTTGTAATCCTTTGATAAAACAGTAATATTTTGAATTACAAGTATTTTTAAAGTACCCAATAAATATACAACAGATGATCTCATTCATAACTTAATTTGAAATTCCTATCTGGATTAGTATTAGGAAAAAAAATCTCATTTAACTGACAGATATTGTGAAACAGAAAAATAATTATGTGCTTCTTGTTTATGTAATTTTGCAGTGATTACATTAATATTTGAAATTGTTTGATAGTATAGTAATATTCTGAATTTCAAATATTTTTAAAGTATCCAATATATGTACAATGAGTGATCTCATTCATAACCCTAAATTGAAATTCCTATATGGATTAGTATCAGGACAAATTTTATTTCCCTTTTGAAAACTGATCTTATTTAAATGACAGATATTATGAAATAGGAAAATAATTATGTGCTTCTTTTATACATAACTGCCAGAACTTCATTTGTTCCATAGTCACTAAAGGAGTGGGTAGTTTATACTCTGAATCCAACCACTTTCCATGTTAACCTTAAGTTACATAACCTCTTTCAGACTCAGTTTACTCATCCATAAAATAAGTACTATTTTATGAGCAATAGACTGTATATATACACATATACGTGTGTATGTGCGTATATATATAACTCCTAGCCCTGTGCTTACCATTTAGTAAGCATGTAGTAAATGTTAGCTATAACAAAGTCTTTAAAATCAATAATATAGTAATAGCATTGTATGGTATCAGATGGTTGCTGGACTTATTTATGATGGTGATCACTTCTTTGAGTATATGAATGCTGAATAACTATGGTGTACAACTGAAATTAAGGCAATACATATTATAGTATATGTATTACAATATATATTACTATTATATATTTACCAGCCTTTTTATTATTCTCACCTATAGTACATTATTTATTCTTTGAACTCAATGTCACTTTAAGTGCAGACGTGAAAAATATATATCTATATATGAAAAAGATAATATTTGATGATATTTTTCTGGAGTTTCTGCTAAAATAAGTTAAAAACGGACTTATTATTGCATGTAAATATGCATTGATGCTCGAATACCCTTACTTATACTTACTCCCCATATGTGTATTAATAAAAACAAAACCATTAAATGTATAACTTATACATGTAATATTTCATCACAGGTTCTTTTGGCAGCAGCTACGTTATCTCATGGATTCCCAAAGGGATGGGAACCACACGGCAGTAAAAGGTTTCATTTTATTGGGCTTAACTGCTGACCCAATCCTTCGTGTCATACTCTTTATGATCATCCTATGTATCTACCTGGTGACCGTATCTGGCAATCTTAGCACAATCATTCTTATCAGAATCTCTTCTCAGCTCCATCATCCTATGTATTTTTTCCTGAGCCACTTGGCATTTGCTGACATCTGCTTTTCAAGTTCTGTCACACCTAACATGCTTGTAAATTTCCTGGTGGAGAGAAATACAATCTCCTATCACGGATGTGGCATCCAGCTTGGTTCAGTTGCTCTCTTTGGGACACTTGAGTGCTTTCTTCTGGCTGCCATGGCATATGATCACTTTGTAGCAATCTACAATCCACTGTTTTATTCAACCAAGATGTCCACAGGGGTTTGCGTTCAGATCCTCATACTGGCTTATGTGAGTAGTTTTCTCAATGCTTCCTCATTTACTATTTCCTTCTATCTTTTACTCTTCTGTGGACCTAATCGAGTCAATCATTTCTTCTGTGATTTTGCCCCTTTAGTTGAACTCTCCTGTTCTGACAGCAGTATCCCCTCAGTCGTGCCCTCATTTACAGCTGGCTCCATCATTGTGTTTACAGTGTTTGTCATAGCCACCTCCTACATCTATATCCTCATCACGATACTGAAGATGCGCTCCAATAGAGGCCATCACAAGGCCTTCTCTACTTGCACTGCCCACCTCACAGCTGTCACTCTATATTTTGGGACCATCACATTCGTTTATGTGATGCCCAAGTCCACCTTCTCAACTGACCAGAACAAAGTGGTGTCTGTGTTCTACATGGTGGTGATTCCCATGCTGAACCCCATTATCTACAGCCTCAAGAACAATGAGATTAAGGGGGCTCTGAAAAGAGAGCTTGGCAGAAAAATATTATCCTAGAGAACTTGATATTTTGTAGGATTTTATATAATAACATTATAAATATAACAATAAAATAAAATTTAGTGCTTGTGGACTGAATATATTCATCCGTATGTCATTAACCTGCGTGGAGATTTTTAGTGAAGGGGGATAATTTTCTGATATAATGTAAATTCAAGGTACATAGTGAGTTACCTTTAATAACATTAAATTAAATAGCTTTTGAAACACATATTGATTCATATGAAAACAATTTCAAATCTGATGTAATCCTTTAAAAGTTTAATTCACATATTTTTTTCGAAAGTTGTTCTCTGCCATAAGTTAAGATTATAGGACATCCAAACCTTTAAGGCTGTATCCATTATCAACAGCATTTCATCCTGGAGTGGGTGTGATAATTATAGTTAAGACCAAATACATTCTAAGAGCAAATGACAAAGCGGAACCTATAGAAAATCGGTAGAAATGTTTTTTTCTTGCAGGAAAGTTATCTGTAGAGGATGGCAGGGCTTGTGAATCCCTAAAATGCTGAACTGTCTTCCTATTCACTGGCTCTAGTCATCTCATACCGGTTCCACAAAGGAAAACAGGATGAGATGTTCCTGACTGATCTTTGAATTCTGTCAAGTTGAAACAGGTGACTTCTCTTGGGAATAAGAGGGATTCCTGACCTCCCTGAGTGGAGCAAACCCTTGGAGTGACCTGTTCCTGGGCAGGCCTACATCCTGCTCAGGAAACTTGAGGGAACTGGATTGATTCTTCCCTGAATTTGTGACTGCTCCTTGGAGAGTCTTACTCAACCTCTATATGCTACAACAACCATATTTATTCACCTTTCCCATTCTCTCGTTGGTGTTTGAGATGCAAAATGTATCTTTTTGACAGATTCAATGGGCATTAATCATTTCATTCATTCCTTTGTTCTTTCCCAGAATAAAAATTAATATTAAATGATCCTTTTATTCTAGGGGTTGTCCTAGGATTTTGGAAATAGTAATAACAAGCATCCAAAGCTATGTACCCTCACAGAATTTGTCTTAGAGCAAAAGAGAGACAATACAACTATCAAGTTAGTGATTCCGACTATTCAAAGGGAAGGGTGTTATGGAGAAAGAAAAATCAGAGCACGGTAAGGAAAATGAACATACTAGAGCCAGGGAATGTTCACTGCAGATCTCGCTGGGAACGTAACAACTGAGACAGGATGCAGGAGATGAAGACACTTCCTGTTAACCATGTGGTTACCTGTGTACATTTATGCAAGTCTAATCTTCCACTCACATGCATAGAATTTACCTCTGAGGCAATGCTAGGCTTGACAGTTTTAATCAATGTCATGGTGAGGACAACTAAAACAACTGATAACATGTTAAATGTATCTTAAATATCACATGAGAGGATCATATGGAATGGCCTCACCAGAAACTGTGAGGACCTAGACATACAGATATAATACCCCAAAATGTTTTGTAGTGAAAGAATTTGACAAAGCAGATGCCCTGGGCCATGCATTCAGTGTTCTTTTGGGATGAGAAGGGCCTAAGTCAAAGCCTAGGTAGGACATGTCCAGATGAGACTTCTGATGGTTACACCTCACAGATACCCACAGAAGAAGAGGAAACTTGATGTGACCAAGTCTTGCACAGACTCATATCCCTGGAGATCTAGAAAGTCTTCTCGAGCCTTGAACTTGGACATAAGATGGTCCAGGACAGGTGGACCTCGGGGTGAACTGAATAAGCAAACAAACAACTCAAGTCTCAATTATGTCTACCGATAATTATTCAAATACAATGACTAGTGTCTAGTGGAAAATAATGACTAAACAGTATGAAAACAACCATATAGAACTTCGTAACTGAAAAATTCACCATGCCAGCAGTTATAGCAGGCGTTTCTCTTTGGCGAGCATAATCCTCATGGCTTTTCGCATTGGATCACAAGAGAAAGCAAAGGCAGAGGAGCCATCCTAGCTTAGAGTCTCATGATTACAATTGAGAACAACATCTCTTATAACACCATCAGGTATAAATCCAGGGTCCCGGCAAGCATTATTTCCAGGTATAAGAATCACTGCAATCAGGAAGCAGAAAGCATGAACAGCACATATTTCATATATTGTTCTTTCAGTCTAAATGTACTTTATAATTAAAGAATCGTTTTTGTTATAACCTATGTTGCATGTAACACAGCTGGCATTCCATTTTTGTCAGTATTTAGGTGAATTGGAATGTTCATAAAGTCAAATTTGTCCTTATAGAAGTCAAAGGATTTTGTTACTCCTTAAAAGGGATGGATGATACTTGCCTTCTGGGATCTTAAACGCTGTGCAGACTCTATGCAGATCCTATACTGTTTAGGATTCTGTACTCAATCACGAGCAGAACATAAGGACCCTCTGTGGTGGTATTTGGGAAATGGGCCATCTACCCTCTGTGCGCATACATGGTTCTCAGAGAAATTATGGAACACCTTTGCATTTTATAAAAGAGGTGCTACTACATAAAGTCCTGGACAATCTTCTAGTTTTTATTTGGCAAAGTTCTTAAGTCCTTTGCTAAAACAACATGGCTATTTACCAGTGAGCCTATGCCAAAATGTAAGTTTAACAAAAATATATTTTGCTGGTTGGTCTTGATAGAATTTATAACAGTTATCAGCCGTTCTACACAGTGTCCTGGCACATGTTAACCATCAGCATTAAGAAAGAAAATAATAGCTAAGGAAAATATAAAACTCAGCTCTTTGCTAAACCAAATAGAAATGGTAATTCTTTGACTTTCCATAATGGATTTTAACACACTTTCGCAAGTAATATAATGGGCAAAATCTGAACCACAAGATTGAACATAGATAGAACATATGTGAATACAGCAACAATTGCAGAAAAGATATCATTTTTCAATACATTATATTTTTTAAAATTGAGCAGATATTGAGGAATAACACAAGTCTCAACCTAGTTTAATGATTTTCAATTACATAAAATATCTTCTGATTAGTGTCTTATTTGAGTGGGTGGATGATGGGGGACACAGCTATCTTCGACCTGAAGACTCAAGCTAATTCTCTTGCTAATTCCTATTGTAGAACATCTTTTGTCACCCTGCTGATGCACCACTTAACAAATAGTCCACTAATAACAGTAATCAACTTTCATCCAGACTACTCTTAGCCAAGTACTGGGCTTAACCCTTGACTTACGTATTTCCATTTAACCCTCGCAATGATTTGGTGAGATAAGTATTCCTATTATGCAAATTTTACTAAATGAACTGAGGCTCAGTTCAAGATATTTGTCCAGTGTATTCAACTGGTATAGTTCAATCCAGCTTTAAACTTCGGGTCAGACCAAATGCTAGAATGGCCCTGAGCATCAGTACACAGGAACATAATCTTCTCTCATGTGCCCACCGGTGACCAGTTCCTGTTGATCTTACCTCCTAATGCCCATCACGTGTCCACTCCACTTTATTTTGACACTAAAATCATCGTCTAATTGATTTTTACACATGCACGTTTAGCCTTCCACAGAACAGCCTAAGTTCTTTATTAAAATAGTTTAATACTATTCATTTTTAGTGCTATTATAATTATATTCACTTGGTTAAAATTTCTCAGAAAAGAAAACTATGGTGCATTTCCCCTTTACAAATCCAAAGAATGAATCCCCGCAGGTAACCACTTCTTGACTCTGTAAACTATTTCATGATTGAGATTCCTCAGTATCTGTAAATAAAATGCTTTACTAAAGAAAACTTATAGTTTCTATCTATGTTACTGCTCGCTCTC